GGAAATGGATGGAGTTGTGTATTAGGCAATTGTCATCATTGAAGTTTGAGGATGTGTCATAAACTGAAAAAGAGGTAAGATGGTACCTATACTCTTACAAGGCACTGTGGGTCAGAACAGTTGTGGGGGCCCCAGAACAATGAGACAACTTGACCCCTGATCCATCAGTGAGCAGATGTTTGGAGATAAACCAGAGACCAGATAATTGAGTAATACTTTTTATCCTGTTAAAAAGACATACTTGGACAAGAATGAGACAGTAATTGTGGCATAATGTTATTACGAGACAAGAAATGCTCTGTTCTAACAAAATAAGTAGTAAAAACACTTTCCCCAAATGTGTTTAACCACTGTTTGGCTTCAGTGCTTCATCCTCTCCAAACCCACACACTCTTTACTTTCCCCTCAGTGACACCACCCTCATTTGTTTTTGGATACTCTTTTTTTTTTCTTTCAAAAATGAAATAACAAATCAACACTGAAAACCCTGTGTGGCAGTAATATTCTAAAAATACAGCCCTAATAAAAGATTTGTGGTGTTTTTTTTTTTTTTTCCCAGCAGTGGAATGAAGCATAAACTCATATGATGGTGTCCGTGAGTTATCATCTCCGTTGCTTAGCCCCTTCCATCTCATTTTTTATGTAATGTGTTGTGTCCTGAACAAACACAACCTCCAGTTTAATTAAAATAAATCCACTTTGAGCTGATATTTAGAAACCCGGGGAATATCGCAGCCTCTGCAACAGATAAAGTGTTTGAGAGCGGGGAATAAAAGGCTGGGCTTGAGGGAGAATTACACTCTACTTCCTTTTCCATCAATGAGGCTTCTATTGTTTATGTTTGAAGTGGGCTTTCCTTCTTTGTAAATGACCTGTCTCCAATTCCCCACTTTTTTCCCCCCTGTTTTATTTGCCTTGAACCTTCAGCAACACTGACACAATAAATTTCTGCTCGGCTCTTTGTTTGCGTTCATGGCTGTGTGCATACGGTAGAATCTGGGACGCCACAGAGACATTGAGAAAAAACGTTTGCATGCAGCTCGAAAACATATTAAAATATGAAGACAAATCACTGTGTCTGGCCAGCTGACAGCAACAGCCTGCAGTGAGAGCCAGCAAGAGTCCTTGCAACAACGCTGCTGCTCCCAGAAAGGGCCTTTTTCAGGGCAAGCGTCGACATGTAGCTCAATAAACAGATGAAAAAAAGCCATGAGCAGTCAAAGCTATTATTAAAGGTGATAGAAGTGTTTCCCTTTGCCAAAGCCTTTGTCATGGTCTTAGCCTCCGTACTTTGTAATGGGGAGAGCTGGGTTTTCAAAGATATCTTCAGAGGACATACTCTGGACTTTGTTGTGTGGATGTCTTTGATGTAAATCATAAAAGTAGAAATCCAAGTCTTTAGTACACATTCCTGCAGGTTTTGAGGCTGTCTAGGAATAAAGCAAAGCTTTAGCAAGTTGGTACATAGAAAATATTCTTTGGCTATTATCCATAAAAAAAAATGAAGGGAAGGAAAATAGGACATTTGGGAAACATTTCGGTCCAATTGATAATTTCTCTTCATAGATTATTAATGTAAATTAGATTTAATTTCCAGGACCAGCTCTGCAACCTCTGCAAGGTACCGAAGGGTGCATGGAAGTTTACCCAACCAGCCTATATGTGTTTTTCTGGACATGGAGAAGGAGTTCTACCAGGTACTTCGGGGACTCAAGTGTGGGGTAGTTCAGGGTACCTGACCCTTTGATGTGGGCTATTAGATCCTTGTACAATTGGTGTCAGAGCTTCACTACAAAGACAGAATCTTACCAAGTTGAGCTAGTTCCTAGTACAATTGTCTTGAGTCCTCCGATTGGGGACCGGGGAGGCGCTCATGTAGTCCCCCACAAGATGGTGCTTATGGCAATTGCCCATGTCGCCCATATCATAAACCACCACTGACCAAAAGAACAAAATTGCGTATACAAGCTGAAAGGAATTTCTCCTGCAGGGTGTCTGGGTTCTTATTAGGGATAAGGGTGATAATCTCGGTCAGCCAGGATGGACTCAGAGTAGAGTCACCGCTCATCCACATTAAGAGGAGCCAGTTGAGGTGATCCAGACATCTGGTTAGGATCCCCCCTGGACGACTCCCTAGTAAGGTTTTCCGGGCACGTCTCACCGAGAGGAGACCCAGAGGAAGACAGAGGGCACTCTGGAAGGACTATGTTTCTCAGCTTGGGAGCACCTCAGGTTTCCCCCGAGTTGGCCCAAGTGGCTGGGGAGAAGGGAGTGTGTGTCTTCCTGCTTAAACTGCTACCCCCTTGACCTCACCCAGGATAAGTGGATGATAATGGATGGAGACTTAATCCATCCACCTGGCAGATTTCAAGTGCTTTGTAAAAGGTTTTGCTCTCCTAAACTTTGTCACATTGTTTTTCCAGTTTCAATAACAAACTTTAGTGCATCAGCTGGGGTTTGTAAAAGACAGATCGACACAAAGTTGTGCATTCTTATCGGAAAAATAGCTCAACCTCAGTTAGAATCCATCTTCCCATCAACACTTCTTGACCTTGTTTGAAAAGCTTCCCCACAGCATGTTGCTGCCACCACAAGTGGGTGAACCAGAGACACATCTGGTTGCAGGACACTGACCCTGAAGGGCTGGAATTGACACCTATGGTTTAGTATCATTGTCCTGCTGGAACATTAACCTCCACCAGAGTCTCAAATCTTTTGAAGCCTTAAAAAGTTTTCTTCTGTGATTGCTATGTTGAGCTCCATCCATCTTCCCAATACCTCTGACCAGCTTTTCTGTTCCTTTTGAAGTGAAGCCTCCCCACAGCATGATGCTGGCATCATCATGTTTCTCAGCAGGGATGGTCTATTCAAAGTGGGTTGTCAAAATAATCAACCTTTAATAGAAACAATAAAATAAAAATATATTATTCACAGATCTTCGTTGGTGTCAAAATCCACGTTAATTGACCCATTTTTCCCAATTGACTCTCTTCTTTCATCAGCTGCTCACCTGTGCAAAGCAATGAGCTGTGGCTGGAAGTTTTAAATACTGGTAAGGTGGTTGAGTTCATCCAGTGTATATGACCCTCTTCAGCAAAGAAGGCAAATATAAAGTGTTGTTTGAAGGTACTTTTCCTATCAGTCAGGCAGACAGCAAATCCCATTACGCTAGCTGTCCTAATGCTCAGACACTGATGTTTGAGAGCAACTTATAAAGCTCAGTAAAACTTCTGCATCTATAACAGCAAAGTAATAAACCTCATGGATGACGTAAGCTAACGCTATCTGTACATTGCAAAGGTACAAAATCTTACAAAGTATTTTTAATCTATTTTCTAGTGCTAATGTCTTAGTACACATGAAATAAGACTTATAAGTATATTTTCTACTACATATAAGAGCTTGTTTTAAGTCAGTAAGTCCTTAATATTGAATGCTTAAGTACTAGTTCCACTGGCATATTATTTCACCTGTAACAACATTTTCCCCATGTTGTCAAATATATCATTATTTGTCAAGTAGACTGATTAACCCATCTGAGCTGTTGATCTATGCATCTCTGATTCATGTTGTTCTTGAGTAATGTTCTCACCACAATATAAATGTCATTAAAGAAAACCCACTCTCCTAAGGTCGATTTATACTGTGACATATAGACTTTGTTTTTGCCAAATTATTTATAAAGCCCTTTAATTAATAAAATGAAACCAGGTCTTTCAAATGAAGTTCACCCTGAAGCAGATTCCAACTTTTGTGTTGGTCTGCTACAAAAAAATCTCAATTCAACATACTAAAGTTTGTGGTATGTGACAAATTGTAAATAAACCGGCATGAATGCATTTGCAAAACTCTATTTTACTCTGATATTCATTAGATCTTTATTTAGTGACTGAACATACAGCCTCCGTGCATTGCCACATGCCTCTTACATAAATAGCAAAGATGTTTATTTTATCACTGTTGACTGTGCATATGTCCTCTTATTTTATGCCTCTTCGAGGGGCTGCACAGAAAAACACAGACACTAAGAATTGTTCTAACACATACCAGTAGGGGGAGCTCATAACTCATAGCTCACTCTCCAGTAAAGCCTTGCAAGGGATCATCATGTGAAGGGTTGCTGGGCAGTAGTTCACACCACACAACACAACCCCACCCTCCATCTCTAAACATCAGCATATTGAGTCCAGATTTCTTTTTTTACATGTTCAGTCTCATCCCTGATCAAATGTTGGATTGCAGTGGTTTGGGTTTGTTCTCACCGTGTTTCGCTACATACTACTAAGGAAAGAAATGGGGGGGTTCGGTGGGGGAAGAGACTTTTGAGTTTCTTGGTGGTATGTAGAGCCACATCAGCTCTTCTCGTCTTGCAGGGGGCTCGGTCAATCAAGCCATTGATTTCTGACAAAGATCATATTTACAATTCTGCATCAGCAACTGAACACATTAACCCCTCACATGTTAAGCAGCCTAAGATTCCGCAATAAATTTAGTTTTGAGTCCACTGATTGAGAATTTAACACATTCTCACAGAAGAGATTAGATTTCAATATTCTGAATGACTTGTCCCCTCTTGAATTAAGGTACATTTTACCTGTTGACTAGTGTGAATGTTGAACCTCCAGCACTCTAATGGCATGCTGCTTTTTTTCTGTCTCAGAGCTTGCTTCAGAAGGTAAATAATTCCTTATATGAGTGACCTACTATAAATGCTTTGCAAATATATATATAAAGGTTTGTCCACTTAGCTCCTTGAATGGAAGTCTTTCACTCGTGCCATAGTAGGGAAGTTCCCTGTAAACCACAGCAAAGTGATTGTCCAGTAGAACCACTGGTAAAAATAGTAATGATAATAATAATAATAATTAATAATTGATAAAAATATTTTGTTCTCCACGCTGCTTTGCTCTACCCCCGCCCTCTGGTACCGGTCCATGTTCGCTACCCGCCCGCTCAGCCTCAGTGTGTTGGGATGTGGGAGACCAGGCGCTCCTAGCGGCCGCGCTGTTCACACCAAAACGCACAGAGAGAGCGTGAGAGAGAGACGGAGAGAGAGAGGAGGATGTTGAACTGTAGTGTGACTGTACATTTATTGGGGCTATATTACCAGCTACGCACAGCTACGCACATGGGGCTTTTGAAAGCCGGTTTTCTTAAGAATAAAACAACTTTTTTGGGGGGGCGCGTGAAAGTTGAAGGCGGGTTTCCTGGTTGTCCTCAAACGCAGACATCCTCGCTGAAGATTTGAAAGGTGCCTGAGTTGCCTCTGAAGGAAAGCGTAGATGTGCGTTTAATTTTTGTTTTTATTTCTTCAGTCTGGACTTTAATTTCTGCCCCGAAAGACTCTGAAAAGCTCCGGCTCGTTACACAGCAACAATTGCGGATGAACTCACCGGACAAACTGGGATAATATTTCCTCAAAGAGCCTAGAGTTTGGAGGCTGGATGAGCAGCTCCGGGTGAACTACTGTTAAATGGATCCTCTGTGTGTTTGGACACTGAAGCTGGCTTTTGTCAGTGAGTAGGACAGTGTTGGGAGCTGTCCATCACTCCCATAGCCGGTGGAGCGGACTTGAGCGCAGTCTTTACCTATTTTTGCCCTCTCTGTGAATTAGAGGTTTTGCGCGACCGCTGTGGATGTTTTAATATGCAAGGATGGGTCCGCTAGCGTTCATCCTTGTTAGTGGATTACTGTACTTTCAAGCTGATGGTAAGTTCTTAACGTGTTATGTAAAACTTCATCTTCAATAGATATGAAACTATATTAAGCGCTGAGGCTGGCAACTCACTTAAATAGACAAATTATTTTGACCAGCTTAGATTCCATAAGTTGCTAGAAATATTATTGTTGTGATGAACAATAACTGAACGTGAATGTTAATATCCTGGCAAGGCAAACATCGATGAGTGGTTGTCATGATTTGTTAGGATTAAGCATCTTAATGCGTAAAAGTAAAACGGCCAGGCAGTTCAGTCCAACAGATAGCCTCCCACTGCAGGAGATGATTGCTGTTCTGTTGCTTGCAGTGATTTTGACCTGCTATTCCAGACATAAATTACCCTCCCTGTGATACATTTTGAAGATGAATATACACCCATAAGTAAAATAGAGAATTAGAATTTTTTTTTTCTTGATTGGCTCCATTCAGTAAAATAATTAATTTCTTATTTTCTAATGAAATGTAACAAAACTTACAAGTTCCATCATTTATGTCTATAAACACAACATGTACAACAGTATGTGCTTTGACTGACTGTTTTGCGTTCACTGATATTCAGATAAAGGCTAGGAATATCATTTTATAGATATATATATATAGGGATAGTCTTAATTCTTTTGGAGTTATTATTGCTACATGCAGCAAACAACCCATTTGTTTTTTTTTTTGTTATAATCTTTAGAGGGGAAAAAAAACAACTCATAAAGAATTAAAATTTAAATATGTAAGTCAGATTTCTAATAACATCAGGAAATCATTTTTGGCCACAGTCAATGGTGCATCCATAAAAATACTTAATTCTTTGTCCCCAAGACTATACGATGTAGTCAGTTTTAGAGCAGGCATGCCTCGGTTTGAATAATTTGCAATGGTCTCTTGAGAGTGGCTACATGTCTGATAAACATGTTGAGACCACTGTAAAATAGTAAAAGACATGCTTAGAAGCCATTTTAGATATCCTAAATTGATAGTTAGCAGACATAATTCTAATCTTTTTGGTTTGCATATTGATTTTTGTTGCACATCCAGTTTTTAGATGCATTTCTTTGGTCCTTCTGCTGCTGTGACTTAGAATTGCCAGTGTTGAATTACAGCAGAAACTGCTTTGAACCAAAAATAAACATACACTGCCAAGAGTTATGTTCATATTTTAAAATTGTTTAATAACAATATGAAAAGCAAATGAGCTGTATGCTGATTAATTGCAGTAATTTCAATTCCCTGTTCTGAACAGCCAGACATTCACCAAATGCAAAGTAAGCATCCTTACAGTAAGATTTTATGTGGTTTCTTGGGATTCAGTGGCCTACAAAAGAACTCATTTAATGGGGGGAGCAGAGTTAATGTGGTGACTCACCACAGTCATCAAAGGTAGGCCAGTGCAAATGATGAAAATTGAGATAGATATAAAGACAAGTTTTATCATTGCATGGTATTTTGAGACACATCATAGCCCATGTGTTGATTCAAACATGTTGGGTTTGCATTTGTCGTACTGCTTATCTTAGAAGAAAAGCTTAGAGTAAATGCAACAGTCTGTAAGGTCCCATTTTGTTCCTTTCTTTCACCTGCCAGCCCCTGCTCTAGTTCTTCACAGCTGCAAGTTTTATCCCTGATCCTTTTTACTTCAGTGTTCATGCCTTCTGCGTTTTCCAGTCTCCCTTTCTTCTGTTTTCATTTTGCGTTGCATCTTTTCATCTCCTCGGCCAAACCCCACTGGTTGCTAGGCACAGGCTGATGGCATTACGAGCTCACCCAAAAGGGAGAAGGGTGTACCATTTCTCCAAAGCAGTGGATCTCCCCAATCATTCTCCTGTTGCCCTCCTTCCCACTCTGCTTTGCTCTACACCCACATCTAAGTAAAACTCACCCATCACCCAGGTTTTTAAGAGGTAATATGATGGTCCTTGGAGAGGGGAGGAGCTTCTTTGAAGAGCCCACTTGGGTGTACAAAAAGGGGCTGGAGCTGAATTGACTGGGAGCCAAAGCCCAACAAAGCCAGGCCTACTAAATGGCGTCAGTAGCTGTTTAGTGTTCTGTGATTAATACTCCCTGTGTGGAGAAGAGAAAAGTTGATGGTGAGAGAGACTGAAAGGAGAAAAATAGCATTAGTCTTGAAAGCTGTAGCCAGGGTGGATATCTGGTAGAAAGTATTGCGACTGTAAGCAGCTGTGTGGTTATCCATGCTGGATTATAATATGCTTTTCAATGTTTACCCCACTGCTGAGCCTCTGCTATTCATAGATCTCCCACATGCTTGCGACTGATGTAGGAGGTGGTGACATCACATTCATCTTGGGTGTTGAAAGATAGTAAAACTTAAATTGGTCATGGAGAGAAGAGCACTTGGGGACGGGCACTTCGTGAGCGACGCCTGATCCGCATAATGGTTGTGGTCTGTCTAATGCTGAGTCACGAAAAACTCAAACTGCAGTGTGAGTGGGAGAAAGGGAAGGCAAAAAGAGGGAGGATGAGGATAATCAAATCTAAAAATTGAGAGAAGAGTTGTTTAACAGTACAATCTTAGGCTGGGAAATGGCAGCGATGATGCTTTATTGCGATAGGACATGGGAGACTAACAGCTCTGTTGATGGTCATGATTAAATGGGAGGCTTAAAGCACTGCTCTATAATGGAAAGTAAACCTAGATTAAAGTAGTCTAGGTGAGTGATGAGGAAGGCTGAGGTCACTGTGTTAGAGCTGCTGTGATGCTTTGCCCCAAATGTGATTGTTCTGCCTGAGCTGGCAGCATTTAAGTAATGCTATTGTAATTGTGCTTCATTTGTTGGAATGGGACTGCTATAATGACGAACCTTCATCTGAGATCTATGGGAAGCTCCTATCTACTGTCTCCCCCTGTCTCATCACTGTCAGCCGAGTCGTTTTCCTCAGCCCCCATACACGCCACCACTGTTTGTTCTCTGATTATCATCAAAATTGAGCTGTGAGATTGAGACTCTGTGGCAGTGATTATAACAGGAAGGGAGTTGAGGGGAATAAAGGAATAGGGAGAGGTGAATGCGAACAAGTCCTTGTGTATTCAAATGATCAGTGTTGTTTGACTGGTGACAAGGGCTTGTCAACTCCTAAACAGCAAAGGCAGGAAGCTGTTGGGATCATGTTTCAAAAGCTGTCACTCCACCCCTTTAGGCCACAAACAAAACAACTTTTGATTTTAGCAGACTTCTGTTTGCTCAGATTTGTCTTTGGAAAGTTCTGGCACTACACAAAGACTTCACTTGGAATTAAAAGCTACAATATTTATTGTTGAAAGGAAGTATGACTCAAAACATGCTAGCTAATGGCTGTAAGTCCTAGATATGAATATGTCTAGGACTCCTAAACAACTCCTAAACACAGAAACAGAAATACATTTATGTTTCATAATTCCAGCTCACACGCTCCACAATATTTTTTTGTCAAAATGAAGCCTGGCTGTTAGCATGAGAGCTTGATACTATAACATGAGATCCAATTACAAAGGCTCTGAGTTTCTATGTTTGATAATCTTATTTTGTAGCTTAAAAGGGAGCAGATATTTTCATATGCCCTGTGGTGCTGACACTATGCTAATAAAGGTCTGTTGCTAGCTTACAACTCTCTGCTACATTAACACTAAACAAACCACACATTTTTAATAATTTTTTTGACAGCTCTGGATATTTGATAAAAAAAAATGGCTATTGACAAGAAATACATATTTTGCTAGCACTGTGATAAACTTGTGACTAGCTAAGCATTAGCTGTTAAAGATGCATTTGATTCAGAATCTTATTGAGAATATTAATAAATGTAATACAGGGCTATTTTACAATTAGAAACTGGACTGTAGTCATTTGCCATTAACAATCTAAAATTCTTACACTGATCAGATTTATGAAGCCCTTATTCTGTTTTTAATTAGATAAAAATAAACATTGTCAATGCTTTCTTGGATTTTGAGCCAAAAAATATGTTGTTTTCCCAGAAATAGTTTTGAAATCTCATTCTCGTGAACCCAAAATTGTGCATCGTCTCGTCTCCTGATATTGATATATTGTTGCTCCCCTAGACCTCGCAGATCATTCACTTTATCCCCTCACAGACCTCATGTGCATAAGAAAATGTCAGCCACAGACAATGCACTTGGTTGGTTTTTCTGTATGCCAGCAGAATGCATCGAAGGTAATACCGCTAATTTATTGAGCCTCACTCATGCATAGCAGTGACATTTACAGAGCAGAAAGTTACATAATAACTTAATGCATTTGCCTAAAGAAAAGCCAGTGATTACTACTGAACTGAATACTGAAAATTTTGCTTACTGAAATTTGGTAGATAGCATGCTGTCTTGTATGATTTGGACAATCTAAATCGCAAACTTTTTTTTTTCTTTTAACCATGTCTTCTCTGTTCGTATGCTGTCTTTGTGTGAGCGTCTATCAATGAGGGTGGAATTCAAACACTGAGGGATTTGTTGTACACCTGTGCTGGCTGTGTATAACACGAGTGTATGCGAAGGTAGGGTTGGGGGGAGGAGTAACATGATGAACTGAGTGTGCTGACTGTGAAGTAAAGGCAGATTGTAAATGCCTTTAGTTCACACACCTGAACTTCAAGAATACGCACCTGTGCTTTTCCCCTTTGGGGCCCAGGGGGCATAGATATAATCCCCTTTCTGTTTTGTCAATGTCTTTGTTTCCAAAACAGCTAATTAAGGGTCAGGCCAACAGAAAATACTCTTCTAATTACTGTTTTATAATCCCTTATGAGATGATGGTAAAGAAGCTTTTGAACTCCAGTTGTTCAAACGGACTCTTGGTTGGTTGGATAACTCTGTTATCATGTAGATGTGAAGAGCAGTCTTATCTATGCAAACTGAAGAATAGCAACAACAGGAAGTCAGATAAAAAAAGTGATAACATGTTTGCCCTATCTGTGTTGTTATGTTGTATGCTCCTCTGAAATGTTGTCTTGGGAAGCATCTGTTTACCGAGTCCAGTTGCCCTCA